CTCGCCTTCTCAAGCCATCGTGAATAATTTTCTTCCGCAGCGCACATCGCCGAATCGTGAGGCCGTTTCCGTCGTTCGCGGATCGCGACCTACAAATTTCTCAATTTCACAATTTCCGAATTAGCGCCCCTCCAAAATGCGTCCCTCTGCTCCCCTCCCTCCCTCGCTCAATTCCCTTCCTTCCCATCACAACCGAATTTGGTAAGCTGGCATGGCACCCTTGAAAGCACCGAAAGGCCGAAAAGACAGCATTACAGGTCCCATCCCAATCCCATGGCTGCTTCCTTTCTGGCTTGTTCTTTCTTCCAACGGAACTTTCAATTCCAGCTCTCTCGGCCCTTCCTCTGTTCGCCGCGGTACTTCTGCTGCTTGTCGATATTACGCACTGGTACACGTCGTTTGCAGTTCCTTTTGAGTTATCACTATGACGACAGACGTCATTCCGCCTCGAAAAGTGCACGGCAGCGCTACTTTTACCATGCATGCGGGGTGCTTGCGAAATAGGAGGTTGGCCAATAACGGAGGGTAACGAGGTGATCGAGTCGACTCGCGGTGCTCCCGACAAAAGAGGCCAGGCGACACCATAGCACGACGAGTAACACAATTACGTGCGCGCTGCGGCGGCGAGATTTTTTCGCAGACGTTACGTACGCGCAGCGGCATTCCCGAATCGGGAAGACTAGCCGACGCCATAGCGAGGGCATTAACGTCACAGCGACGTTCGGAAGCGAGCCTCCAGTGCCTTGGGTAGCGTTGCAACTAGTAGACTTTTCTTCAATTTCGGATTCTCGAGAGAACCGGAGGACGCCAATGTCTATCATAACTATCTTCGACGTGGGACTCACCGTACCGAAGAGAGGGCGCCGACTCAAAGGCAAATACAGCTACGATTTTCCGCTCGTGCGCCTCGCTACCTCCGCCGCTACATACGGTCGCTTCCCTGGTGTTTCTGTGAATGGGAAATTCCAAAGATTAGAAAAACTCATAAACACCAGGAAGCGACCGCGCATATCTACTGCAGCGATTCCCGGCTGGTAACCAACGCGTTCCAGTGCTTTCTCCTTCCCCGCCGCGGCTCGTTTCGGTGTCTGGTTCGCGTTACGAGCGCGAGAGCTCTCCGAGGTTCAAGAGCGACTAATCACTCGATTGGCCCTTCCAAAGGAAAGCACCATAACGGCCTCTACCAGCCCCCTCTATTAGTATCGAGAGATTCCGGAAGTATCGGCGTAGTAATGCTGAGAAAAACTCGTAGAAGGAGATTCATTGTCCTCTAAGAACCGTGGGGATCACGATAGAGCAGGCTCACGTGGTCCGAATGGACTCAGACGGGACTCCTTCTTCCCGCCCCGTCAGAACAAGAACCCAATTCCGCGTCGTCTCTTCCGCCCAATGGTTTGCTTCAGTTCGCGCCTCGCTTCCGCTCACTTCAGCTCGCTCCCGCCGCCCCCGTCCGCTCCTCCCCTGCCTCGATTTGGTTCCTTCCCCCATCGTCTCCATTCTATTCCTCCTCGTCCTCGTTCTCTCCTCCCTTCCGCTTTCACCCGCTCGCTCCCTCCGCCCGCTGCTCATTCCCCGCCTCGACGACCCCTACTCCACCCACGGGGCAGTTCCAATCTTTTCCGGCCCTGCCCCAACCGCATTCCTCCGTTTTTTCAACGAGCTGCCCGTGCTCAAGGGCGAGTCTCGAAAGGCGAGTTACCCGGTTACCACTGTTCCCGACTTGGTAACCACGAGCAGTGCTTTGCATCAAGAGAGCAGTAAGGACAAGACAAGTCGTGCTGATGGTGCTGGTGGTGCTGGTGGTGCTGGTGGAAAGAGCGTTGACAGTAGCAGCAGTGGCGGCAGCACGATCAGCGGCAGCAGCAGCGATGGCAGCGGTGGCGGCACGACGGTGTACCAGTTTCAGACCAATAGTCAGACGGCGACGGTAACGGATTCTGGTAACGTCACACAGAGCAACGTCCAGTCAGAGACGGCCTTTGGAACTCCGTCAGAATCATCAAGTACCAGCAGCAGCAGCAGCAGCGGTGAATCACCATCGCCATCACCAGCACCGGCACCGGCGCCGGCATCAGCATCAGCATTAGCATCTGCTACAAGGGTCTTAGGCGGAAAGGGCGGACGGGGCGGAAAGGGCGCGAAGAAAGGGAAGAAAGGAAAGAAGAAGGGCTTTAAGGAAGGAGAGGAGGAAGCTGTAGGGGCGGCGCTGGGGGCAGCAAGGGCGGCGGGACCCGCAGTAAGCGCAGCAGCAAGGGGAGCAGCAACTGCAGCAGGCGCAGCAGCAAGTGCTGCAAATGCAACAGCTACGGCAGTGGAGGCGGAACTAGGGGCACTTGGGGAGACCTTTGCTTCCGCCATCGCGCCATCCCTCGCCATACCGCCACCTCCAGCCATAGTACTGCCCTGTGCGCCACCCCTTCCCCCGCTCCCCCCGTTTGCTGCTCGATTCTTCGCCCCGGCTCCTCCCCCTCCACCTTGCATTCCCTTTCCCCCGTTCCCGTCGCTACCTACTCTTCCATCCGCCCTCCCTCCGCTTCCTTCCGCCCTGCCTCCTCTCCCGTCCGCCCTGCCTCCTCTCCCTTCTGCCCTCCCTCCTCTCGCTTCTGTCCTCCCTCCTCTCCCTTCCGCCCCTCCTCTCCCGTCCGCCCCTCCTCTCCCTTCCGCCCCGCCTCTCCCTTCCGCCCCTCCTCTCCCTTCCGCCATCCCTCCTTTCCATTCCGCCCCTCCTCTCCCTTCCACCCTCCCTCCACTCCCTTCCGCCCCTCCTCTCCCTTCCGCCCCTCCTCTCCCTTCCGCCCCTCCTCTCCCTTACGCCCCTCCTCTCCCTTCCGCCCCTCCTCTCCCTTCCACCCTCCCTCCACTCCCTTCCGCCCCTCCTTTCCCTTCCGGCCCTACTCTCCCTTCCGTCCTCCCTCCTCTCCCTTCCGCCCTTCCCCCAATAGCTCCTCGGTCTTTTGCCCGCCCCCCACTACCCTCCGCCCTCCCCCCGCTACCAATTGCCCTCCCCCCTCGGCCGTCCGCCGTTCCTCCTCGCCCGTCCGCCGTTCCCCCTCGCCCTTCCGCTCTCCCTCCCCTCCCTGTCCCCACTCCGCCTCTGCCTGCTGCTCTTCCGCCTCTCTCACCACGCTCCTTTCCTCCCCTGCCCTCTCATTCCCTTCCCCCCAGACCCTCTCCTGCCCTCCCCCCAAGCCCCTCTGTCTCAAGTCCCCCCAAACCCTCCCCTGCCCTCCCCCCCAGCCCCTCTGTAGCAATTCCTCCCAAGCCTCCTGCCGCAGCTGCTTCCAGACCTGCTTCACTCCCACCCAGACCTCCTGCTGCTGTTGCTCCCAGACCTGCTCCATTTCCTCCCAGACCTGCTCCGGTCCCACCCAAGCCTCCTGCTGCCACTGCTCCCAAACCTGCTCCCATCCCTCCCAGACCTCCTGCCGCAGCTGCTCCCATACCTGCTTCAGTCCCACCCAGACCTCCTGTTGCCATTGCTGCCAAACCTGGTCCCATACCTCCTGAAGTTCCTACCACGGCCGCAGCCACTCCAATTCCTCCCAGACCTCGTGCCACAGCTGCCCCCGAACCTGCTCCGATCCCACCCAAACCTCCTGCTGTCATTGCTCCCAGACCCGCTCGGATTACTCCCAAACCTCCTGCCACATCTGCTCCCAGACCTGCCCCCGTCCCGCCCACACCTCCTCCTGTCGTTGCACCCTAGCCTTCCATCCGCCCTCGTCCCCAGCAACCTTCCTTTCCTCCCTAAATTCCTCACTTCCACCCTTTGCCCCACCCATACGTACTCCCAACCTTGAGGGGACTGTATTATATTGCAAATGCTTGAACAGTATTGCATGTCTCTGCTTTTGTTAGGTGGGTGGTTCAGCAGTATGTTCATGGAATGATGTGTATTGTTGTAAAACATAGAAGTTCATAACAAATTATAAAACATATATTACACAAGTAAGCAAAGAACCAAACTACCTTAAAGAGAATCACATCAAATCGCGGATCCCTCAAAGGCATTCTCCCACATCAACTACCCCAGACGCATTCTTCCAAGCATTCTCATTTAGTCGGGGGTAGTTGGCATGGCAGGGTGCCTTTGAAGCTATCCGCAAGGATGTGACAAGTGGCGTTGATGTTAAAACCAGGGTGCACATTCAACGCGGTTCGGCTTGAGATGTTGGGAAGGGGGTTTGGAGAAAAACAGTGATTGGCTCACGAGGGGCGACAAAAAAATGATTCCGCTAGAGCTTCGGGCATTACGTAGGTGGCGGGAGGGGGTGAAATGGCGGGAGTGGGTGAAACCGAATGGCGGGAGGGATGAAACAGATTGGCGGGAGGGGGGGGGGAAACGAAATTGCGGGGGAGGGGGGAAACAAAATTGCGGGGGAGGGGGGAAACGAATTTCGACGGGGAGGGGGAAATGAAATTGCGGGGGCGTGGGGAAACGAAATTGCGGGGGAGGGGGGAAACGAATTTCGACTTGAAGGGGTTGAAAGCACACCTCGTAACCCACTCAGTCAAGGGATAACCTTTGATGCACATTCAGCTGAATGTGCACCCCGGTTTTAAGGGAGCGGGGGCAAGAGTGGAGGAGGGGAGCGTGAGGGGCGGAGGGAGTGAGTGAGTGCAAGTGCGCCGGCATTGAGTCGGGGGTAGTAGGCATGACATGGTGCCTTTGAAGCGATCCGCAATGCTGTGATGGTAGCTTTAAAAATATAAAAGTAGAGGTGAGGAGAGAGGTGACGGAGGAGGGACAGGGTGAGGAGGATGTGGAAAAGGATGGAGGCATCAGGCAGCACAGCGCGAGTTGTAAGCTTTTGAGTCGACTCAAAATCAGGCATCAGGCGGCACAGCGCGAGTGGTAATCAGTATGCTTCAGTACAGCACCCAATGCCCCACCCCATTCACTGCCACAGCCTCTCCAGGCAACCGGAAAGAACACATCCCAGGGTCACCATTTCCCTTCCCAGCAGCAGGGTGACTGGTAACCAGGTAACCCCCAAGCTTCAGTGCAGCACCCAGTACCCCACCCCATTCACTGCCACAGCCTCGCCAGGCAACCGGAAAGAACACATCCCAGGGTTATCATTTCTGCTCCCAGCAGCAGTGCTGAGAGTGCCGCTGTCACCACCAGCAGCAACAGGAGAATTCCTCTCGGCAGGAGGAGGGGAGAACACAGGCCCTGGCATGGCGTGGCAGTGCCGACCCTCATAGCTGGTTACCACAACACATGGATCTGTAACCGCACGCTCCACATGCTTACGCACAGTGCACCCCGCGTGCGTGCACTTGTAGTAACTCCGCGGATTAGGGTTACCGCGTACCACCTTCTGTCCGTACTTGCGCCAGCGGTAACCGTCGTCTAGAAGCTCCATGTTACTGCGTAACTCGACGACCAGTTTCGGCTCTTCAATCACTTGCTGTGCGCAAACCAGTACAGTTTCGGCGCCCCGCCTCGGCTTCTTATCCACGGCTCCAGCAGTTTCGTTATGAGCTGCTTCGCTAGTAGCTGCTCCGTTATAAGCAGCTCCTTTATTTAAAGTTACTGCTGCGTTATAAGCTGCTGCACTGGTAACATCCTCCTCCATAGCTTCAGCTGACAGGTCCCCAGCAGATAGGCATACCCCAGGTAGTGCCTTCCTCTTCCTCTCCCCACTCACACTGGATCCCCCACTGCTCCCTGTGGGCCCCTCAGAACCAGGGTCAGGGCTGGTAAGATCAACGGCTGAGATTTGCAGGTTGGCAGGGGCGGATAAACGGCTGTGATGAAGGAACAGCCTCTTTCCCCAGAGCCTCTCCTGTGACCCATGGCGGTCTGTAGCAGTGTTACAAGTCTGGTTACCAATAGGGTTACTTATGGGAATACCCTGCCTTATTGATGTGGACTCAGCTTGAAGTAGCGGAAATGAGGAGGACGAAAGTAGGGAAAGTTTTGGAGAATTAGCATCAGCAGCAGGAGCAGCAGGAGGGGAAGCATCCAACTCCTCCTGCTGCTGCTGCTGCTGCTGCTGCTGCTCACGCCTGGTTTCCCATTCCTCCTCCTGAATCTCTTTTGCGGGGAGCCCAGGAGGCGGGTGATTGTGCAACCCCCTGTAGATTCTTTCCAGCACCTCTCCATCATCTGCCCGTTCCTCCGTTTTTCTCACCAGGCAGCCCGGAAATGTGCAGCGGAAATAGAGTCGAGGGTGCAGGCAGCCTTTCACCATTTTCTGCCCATACTTTCGCCAGTTGTACCCATCTTCGGCAGGCACCAAAATATATTCCGTGTTGCTACCCGCCTCCAGTCCCTCCATGCTCCGAAATTTCCGACCTGCCTGAGATTTGCTCCCTGAGGGCTCAGGTCCTTCTGAAACTTCCAGGTGCTTGCTGCTTCGGTCGTTGCTGCGGCTGTTGTTCCTTCCAAGAAGCTTCTCACTGTCTCTCTGCTGTTCACTCCCACTGCCGCTGCCACTTGCGCCGCCCACAAGCGAGTCAAAAAAGTCAAACAGGTCGTTGAGATCATCTCCTGCGTCGCCCTTCCCTCCAGAGTCAACGAAGTCAACGAATTCCAGCTTCCCTGGGTTCTCCACACCAGACGTTGGGGTCTCCTCCTCACCCTCCTGCACAGGCTCGGACATTCCCGAGCCAGTAGGCTCGGCGTCGTCCGAACCTGGCACAGTAACAGGTGGTGGTTTCTGTGGAAAGGCTTTTGTCAGCGGGGGAATTGCAGCAGGCGGAAGGGAACCCATGTTGATGTTGGGGGGAGGAAGTGAGGCGGGGAGGGGGAGAACTGGGGCGGGGAGGGGGAGAGGCGGAGGTGGTAGGTTCGAACAAGCTGTAACGACAGCAGGTCCGGCTTGTGCCGAAGCTGCGCTGCCTGCCGAGCCTGCTGCCGAGCCTAGGGTTGGGCCAGGGCGGCCTGCCATGATAGGCGACTCGAGGAGCGCGGCTGGGCTGATCCCCGCGTCGATTAGGGCGAATGGGGACGCGACACGTGTTGGAGCTCCTTGGAAAGAGTAGCCATTTTTTGCTGCATCGAGTACTGTTGGATTTGTTTGTTCAACATTTTTCTGCTGTTGCTGATGCTGCTGCTGATGAGGCAGCTGTTGCTGCGGGTAAGTGGGTGGTCGTACCAGGAGCGTTCCCGAATCGGGGACGGGTTGGGACGATTGGCCGCGCTCCAAGATCAAGTGCGCCACGGACGGCGGCGGAACCTTCTGCGACGCGGAGGACGGGCCGCGCGCGGCGAGACGCGACGCGAAGCTGCGGCGTTGTCGGGCTGGCGAGCGCGGGGAATGCGGGGAACGCGGCGACGCGGATGAGCGCGGGGAACGCGGGGAACGCGGGGAGCGCGGGTTACTGCAGCTGCTTCCGCTGCCGTTAATCAGCACGTCTTGGCGGGAAATGGCGGCGGCGGAAGGCGACGAGTTAAGAGTCGCTCCGGGAAACGAGGGGAATGACTTGAAGAGCCCCCCTATCCCCGCTGTAAGCCGCCCCAAAGTATCACACTCGACATTGTGAACATAGGAGCCCCAATCGTTGGAAGTCGTTCCGGAGATCGCGCCCGCCGCAACGCCGGGTTCTGACGTGGATTTTGGGAAGTGTCTTCCGTGGTTGGGCGCCGAGTCGGCCGACCGCGCGGTTTGCAGTGGCGGTTGCGGCGCAAGGTTGGCGGCTCCCGCCGTGGCCTCCGCTTTGATGATGAGCGCGCGGAGGCGCTCCGCGAGCGGCGCGCGGGGATCCTCGATCAGCGGCGCGGCTGACGTGGCGAGCGCGTGGAGGATGCTCATCGGAGTCTGCGGCGAAGCCGAAGAAGAATCCATTCAAAACGCGAGGAGGCGGTTCCGTCGCGGAAGTTCTCTACCAGTAAAATTATATACACCGGAAACAAACGGAAACAAACGGTAACTACTGCGGAAACAAACGGTAACTACTGCGGAAACAAACGGTAACTCGCGGTGGTAGCTTGTCCTTAGCTCAGGATCAAATAATCGCCACTGATAGAAAGATAATATATCCTCAACGAAATAACCACGTGCGCGCGGTTGTTCTCGGACGCACTGAACGATGCTTGTCGCTGAAAGAGATGAACTGCCCATACGACTTGTGCTTCTTTGAGTCGTCTCGGTCGTCGTCTCGTGATTGAAACCTCGACTCGGAGTCACTTGCGCGGGGAAAGGAAGGATGATCGTGATGGAGATCAAATGTCGGCGACATTTATTTAAATACTCGCATGGGGCTCGAAGACTGATAGTCAACATCACAACGGCCAAAAGAATTGGCAGGCTGAATTGGCGTGGGGCCGCGGCCCGGGGACTGAGAGGGGGGCGCGTTCCGCGCGCCCGTTGCGCGGATAACTCCGCTCGGCAGCACAGTCTCCGCCAGCCGCGCGACTCGCGGACGCGCGAACCTCGCGTTCTAGAATCCGTGCCATCAGGATGCGACTGGGATGGGAAACGACTGGACTTGGGCCTCCCTCGCTCGCTTCGCTTTGCTGCTCACCTACACTTTCCTCTTCTGACTGATCTCCCCCCATTCTGCGCGGCCGCGGTTGCGGCGCTTCACGTGGTTTTCTCTACCTGAGGCTGTGTGGCAGCTTGCCATTGCCAGCCTGCCAAAGCAGTGCTTCGCTACAAGGCGACAGATGTGGGAGATTGATTTCGCAGATTCTCGCCGCCAGCACATACAGCAGATGACGTAAGGGGATGCGAGGGGAGGGGAGGAGAGGAGAGGAGAGCGGGGGCTGTGTGTGGGTGATGGAGGGGGCGGGGGAGAGCTGGGGGAGGGGAGGGCGGGGGGTGTTGCGAACTTGTGAAAGAAAACAAGCAGTTGTGGCCTGATTGCGGAACTTGCGGAAGGGGTCATGGCGGGGGAAACATGTGTGTGGGGAAATACCTTCTCTTGGGCAGGAGCAGATGCCCCATCTTGTCACTGTATATTCTGTCGTGCGCGGGTTGCAATTTCCGTGTGTGAAAAGGCAGAAAGACATTTTTTTTTTGTGAATGATATTTCACTATAAAAGTGCTGACGTTCTCAGTCGTAACTGAGGCAGAAAGACAATTTGAAAGTGATTAGGAAATTTGAAAGGAAAAATTGGGCTCAATGATGCGAGAAATGGGGCTGGAAGTGAAGGGCGTTCACAACTGAGGAAAACCATCGCGGATCTTGCGGACGTGGTCGGTGGGTTTGATAACCGGATCAGACAAAACCAAGGGGGGTGGGGTGGGGGGGTGTGAGAGGGAGAAGGGGGAAAAGGTGAAAAGCATACGCGGAATGCCTTGGCGACTCGGGGACTTACGCAGTGCCCGAGAAAGGGTCGACGCTGACCAGAGCAGCATGACTCTGACATGGGGCAACATTAATCGCCAGATTTCGTCTCTACTGTCGTCTACGTTTGTAACTCGATATTTATCTCCTCAGGTGATCCGCCTTACAAAAGCGATTATCACGAGAGTATCAGTTGATCGCACTTCGCAGTTTCGCGAAGGTGACGCTACACAACCGGAAATGCAGTACACCCTCTTTCTCACCTCTCTCACCGGCGGAAGCACTGGCTACAGTGTTTGGACGTAGCGGGCTGGTGAGATAAGTCGGTTGCGGGCAAAGTCGCACGAGGGTTTGAAACACGCCTTGGGCCGTAAAAATCCATTAACGTTGAATAACCGTCCTGACCGCTTTGAAAACAACAGTACCATTGTAGAACGTAGAAAACCTTGACTAAACGCCCTGGGTCAAATTGTCACTGTAACGCATGTGATAGGACCTTCTTTGGTCCGGTGCGGCTACACTAAGCGTCTCGGTCAGTATAACATATGCCAGTCTACCGAGAATGAGGGTGTAGAAACTCCTTATGTCAGAACAAAATGGTGTTGGTTACACAGTTCAGTGTCGGCGCATACAGCTGTCCAGAATGTTCTGTCTGGTGCCCCCTTCGACAGTCATTCAGTCCTGAAGGGGGGAAATATACAAGCATGAAGGTTGGGAGGGTCTTCTTTGTTTGGGCACATTGTGCCAAAAACTCGGTCGAGTTTGAAGAAGTCAACATTGCCCACGCATTGGAAAAATCGTTCGCCATCAACTTTAGCTCAGGCAAACTTGTACCAAACTGTACTTTGAGCTCTTCACTTCTCAAACCTGAATTTCTGAGGGGCTCTGGGTAACAAGGCAGGGCACCCAATCGTGCAAAAGCAATGTTTCGATTCGAAGCTTTGGTGTCCGTGTGTACAGAAAGCGTTGCCAGCGACACGTAAAATGTTGGAAGGACGTGGGGAGCAGAGATGAAGGCCCTGTTCGATAGCACTTTGGGGCCCCCACGATGCAACCATTTGGTTTGGCTCTGTCGCCCAAACGGTTCAGCGTCGCGACAAAATGCAAGTGGTGGGACAGCGCCGGCAGTTTAATCATTTTGGCCGACCCGAAGACGGCCGATGTGGTCGAAAAGCTCCACCTCAACGGCCCTTTGAAGCGGACTGTTTCCAGCCGCGGGGTCTGCCCGGGGGTTCGACGGTCTACGTAAAAACAAAAGCCTCACCCAAATGTTTGTGCTGAAAATGTATAGAGTATTCCAGATCGGTTCCAGCATTAGTTAGGTGTGTCGAAAGGATTTGTGGTGCAACTGGTTTATACCTTTTGTTTGGCGCGACTATCCCTAAATAGCCCATTGGTCTGGCATTGGGGCCACTTATTTGAAAAGTAACATTGGCAATGGTCTGGTAATGGTCTGAAATTTTACCAGGGATGGGCTGTAATGATTAGGCGACAGTCACTGTTACTGCGCGCTGTGGTGTCAAACCACCCCGTTAAAATTCCCGCCATGTTTTAGCAGCTGGGCGGGAAACCAAGGACATCGCAGGGGGGTCGTTCGCGCTGGCGGGAATTATGAGTCGTCGCAGGGGGTCGCAAACCGTTTCCCGCCCAACCAACGAGGTCACCTCAAAGCGTTTCTGGCGGGGTACCCTCGCTGTCGAACAGGGCCGAAGGTCTCAAAACGCCCGTAGAAATGGGTCAGCAGACTGGGCAATTTGAGTCGACTTTGAATTCCAAAGAATGCTGACCGGTGCATCTGTCAGTCAGAGTAACTAGTGATTCACCTGGTAAAGTGTACCTTAACGGGTTGTTTATGTGATCGTTTTGCATGCTTAAGATGTACACTGCTTAACTCCCTGATGACAAGGTTATTGATAAATTGCAATGTATGAGTGATGATTGTATATCAATCCTACGATTCTTGAGTTATCACAACATTACTTTTAAGAGCTGCCAGAAGTCGGAGCATATTTTATTATTTTATGCGTCTGCTTATAAGCACACTCTTCTGACCAGAATCGGATGAAAGATCCTCGTTACAGGATTTGGGTCATTGGGAATCTCCAAGCTGGATTTCAGGTTTCCAGGCCAGGGAGATTTCAGGACGTCCAGATTTTTTTCCCAAACTCGCTAGATCCTATTCCCTGCCAAACTTGGGCCTAATTTCCTCCCTCGCGCCGCCAATCCGCCCTGGTCCGCCTTCGCTTTCCAACGTACTGTCTTAATCCGTCTCCACCGCTTGCTTCTCGTCCTCTTAGAGTACCTCGCAATGGCGGCTGCAGCGCTTGCCACGTCAGCAGCAGTCGGCAGCATCAGTGGCTACCGGCCCGCCAGCGCGCTTTCCGGCGCTTGTGGGTTGCTGTACTTCCACCCCTCTTCCGTTCTTAGCTAGTTGATGATTTAATCAGTTAGTTAGTTATTTGTTTTTTTTCTCCCGTGCCAAACCACATTTCTTTCTTGTTAACCCTTCGCATCAGCGTTCTCCTAACCTCCCGCGTACTCAGACCTCTAGCTGCACTTTCGGGTCTCGTTTTAGTGCGCATTATTTCGGCTCGACGAGTCCCTAACATTGAAAAATACTTCTTACGCATTTTCTGCGTTCCGTTTAATCCCTCTCTTCTCTCGCGCTCCTAACCCCTCTCCGCATCACCTGCATTCCCCCCCTCCCCTCCACCCCCACACCCCCCCCCCCCCTTCCCCCTCTCCTCCTCCCCCCCTCCCCCCTTTCCTCCTTCCCCCCCTTCCCTTTCTCCATCCCCTCCTCCCCGCTCCCCTCCCCTTCTCCCTCCTCAACCTTTCCGCGCGCCCGTTCCCCCCATCTCTCCGCCGCTGCCTGCTCGCAGCCCTCCGCTCGTCCTCCGCCTTCGCGCTCACCCCCATCCGCGCTCTCCCGCCTCTTCCTTCCGCCGCCGCCGCCCGCCGCGCCTCCCCCTCCGCCCCCTCGCGCGGGGTCGCGGTGGTTCCGCGCGCCGTCATCGCGGGGCTGCAGGTGTCGGCGGCGTCCGTGGCGCAATGGGCGGCGCGAATGGCGGCGTTTTACCTGCTGGTGAAGCTGGGAGTGGCTGGGGCCGAGAAAGGTGAGGAGAGGGGAAGGACGAGAGGCAGGCGGACGGTTTAGGGTAACTGTGGGGTCATGTTAACGAGGGTCAATGAGGTCAACAAGGTCAACAGGGTCATCTCAGTTAAGATGCGCGAATGGCGGCGTTTTACCTGCTGGTGAAGCTGGGAGTGGCTGGAGCGGAGAAAGGTGAGACCGAGTAGGGGATAATAAACATTGTGCGTAAGGACGTATTAGGTCAGAGAGATTGAGGGGCGATGCACTCGCTGGTGAAGCTAGGGGTGGCTGGAGCGGAGAAAGGTGAGATCAGCGGGCCATGAGGACGTCCTAGGGTAGGGAGAAGTGAGGGGGGGGGGGGGGGGGTATAGTGATTAAGTTAAGCGTCTGCTGCAGGTTTTGCTAGAGTGAGGTGAACCCATTTTTGAGGCGCCTCAAAAATCGCCTCACAAGGCGCCTCAAAAATCGCCTCACAAGGCGCCTCAAAAATCTGCTGCAGGTTTTGCTCGAGTGAGGTGAACCCAGGGTACATCTGGTCAGAACGAGTCGCGCTTTGAGTCGTCTCAAAACACGGATCTGGTCATCATAACCCGAGGTGACTTTTTTGACTTGGGGAGGAGGTGTGCAGGTAGTGCTCGGGTGAAGCTAGGTTAGATATGGTCGAGATCCGTAAATGGCAGCGTATGGTGGTGAGTGGTGGTGAACGGTGGTGAATGGTGGAGAGTGGTGGTGAATGGTGGAGAGTGGTGGTGAATGGTGGTGATAAATTTCAATATGCCCCATTGTCCCATGCCCCTCTAGTTTCCAGTTTTACCATACCCATCCCTCCTGTACACCCAGACCGGGTCAAAGGGTCAAACTGATTCCACTCCTTGCCTCTCCAATCCCCTTCCCTGTCCCCACCACCCCAAACCCCACTGTTCCTCTGCCAGCTGGCGGGGCCAAGAGCATGGGCGGCATCAACCTCGTTGACCGGGTCAACAGGGTCAAACTGACTTTACTCCTCGCCACTAGGTCAAGGGAACTTTGCCGTCTGATGCTCTGCCATCCACTCCCACCCACTCCAAACCCCGCTCTTCGTGTGCCAGCTGGCGGGGCCAAGAGCACGGGCGGCATCAACCTCGTTGACCGGGTCAACAGGGTCAAACTGACTATACGCTCTACCGCTGTGCTATCCTATCCCACCCTCCTCACCCACGTCTGCCAGTATGTGGGCCTGAGAGCACGGGTCGCGTCAACCTCGTTGACCGGGTCAACAGGGTCAAACTGATTCCACTCCTTGCCTCTCCATTCCCCTTTCCTTGTCCCCACCACCCCCACTCGCTGTTTCAATGCCAGCTGGCGGGGCGGAGAGCACGGGCGGCATCAACCTCGTTGACCGGGTCAACAAGGCTCTGTTTGGGAACGCTGGTGAGTTCTGGACGGGTGTAGGTTGTTGCATAGCTGTAAATTGATTAGGACTGCGTTGACCTCGTTGACTGGGTCAACAGAGGTCTGGTTGGGAACGAGGGTGAGGTGGACATGACATGAGGTAAGGTGGTCGGCTTTACTGCCTACCCACCTCTTTCTCTTCCCCTCACCGTCTCACTCATCAGTCTCATCACCACTTCTCTTTCTCTTTCTCTTCCCCTCACCGTCTCACTCATCAGTCTCATCACCACTTCTCTTTCTCTTTCTCTTCCCCTCACCGTCTCATCAGTCTCATCACCACTTCTCTTTCTCTTTCTCTTCCCCTCACCGTCTCATCAGTCTCATCACCACTTCTCTTTCTCTTTCTCAGCCATCAGCTGAGGAAACGGCGGGCAGCAGATGAATGGCTCGAGAGCACCAAGCGCACGGTGGTGAGGCAGTGTGGTTAACTTTCCCGCCCATGCCGCTCTCTCTTCCCACCCATCAACCGAGAAAGCGGCCAAAGAGGCCAAGAAAGCAGCAGGCAGCAGATGGCATGAGAGCACCAAGGGCACGGTGGTGTGTTATTCATGCTCTGTCCTTCCACTCGTCTCTTTCTCCCTCCCTTTCTCCCTTTTTACCAGCTGTGGTGGGCCGCAGATGGCATGAGAGCACCAAGGAGGGCACTCTAGTGCGCTATGTATGACCTGTCCCTCACCCCTCACTCACCTCTTGGTGCGCCCATCCATACACCCACCAACGGAAAAGGGTTGACTTTTGAGTCGACTCAAAAGTCAACTCACTCACCTCTTGGTGCGCCCATCCACCCACCCACCAACGGAAAAGGCAGCAAAGGAGGCCACGAAGGCAGCAGATGGCATGAGGGCACCAAGGGGGGCACGCTTTTGTGGTCTGTTAATCATGCCCTGTCTCACCCCCCTCCACCCCACCTCTCTACTCGCTTTTTCTTCGCCTGTTCATTCATCATCAGCCGAGAAGGCGGCCAAGGAGGCAGAGGAGGCAGCAGGCAGCAGATGGCATGAGAGCACCAAGGAGGGAAAATCTGGTGTGCCATTCATTCCTTTCCTTCCCGTCGCTCTCCTCCCCACCCTTTCTCCCTCTTCTCCTTCCATTTACCAGCTGAAAAGGCAGCCAAGGAAGCCAAGAAAGCAGCGGGCAGCAGATGGCACGAGAGCACCAAGGGCACCCTGGTGAGGCGGTGCCGCGTTCCCAACGTGAGCGAGGGGCGGAGGACCCTCCGGTCCCTCATGGCCCTGCTGTCTGAAGACGACCTTTTCACTGATGCCACCTCGCACAAGGTGAGCGACTAGCACAGGAGAGAGGTGAGAGGTGAGAGCACCCTCGTGAGGCGGTGCCGCGTGCCCAACGTGAGTGAGGGGAGGCGCACACTTCGCTCGTTGATGGCCCTGCTGTCTGAAGGCGACCTGTTCACCGACGCCACCTTGCACAAGGTGAGTGATTGACACACGTCACACAGGTAAGTGACTGGCACACAGGGAAAGGAGAAAGGTCAGGAGAGCACGAGAGCACCAAGGGCCCGTTGGGGAGGTGGTGCCTCATGCCCAACGTGAAACCATGTGCTGCAACAATGTGAGGGCGATGTTTCGCGAGCTGCCCACGCCACACATCGTCGTAAAGGTCGACTTTTGAGGCGACTCAAAAGCCGATTTGACTTTTGAGTCAACTCAAAAGCCGAGTTGACTTTTGAGTCAACTCAAAAGCCACACATCGTCGTAGAGGTCACTGTTTTCCCCCTTTTCCCCCCTTTCTCCCTCCCTTCTTTGTCTCCCAACCTCTCCTCCACAACCCTTCCTCCCTTTCCCACTCTTTTCCTCCAATCCTCCCCTACCAGGGCTGCTAAATCCAACTCTTCCTCCCTGTCAGCGCACAGCGAAACCGTCTGCTGCAACAACGTGAGGTCCATTGTTGACGAGCTGCCCACATCATGCTCCCTCTCTTCTCCTTCCCTCTCCTCTCCTCCCCTTGACGGGGCTGTCAGATCAGGAGAGAGTCAGCGCACAGCGAGACAGTCTGCTGCAACAACGTGAGGGCCATGTTTGACGAGCTGCCCACGCCACACATTGTGGTCGAGGTCACTGTCTTCCCCTTTCCCCCCTTCCTCCCTCCCTTCCCTGCTCTGTCCCACTCTTTTCCCCCAAACCTTCTCTCACAGGGCTGCCAAATCCGCAGGGAGTCGGCACACAGCGAGACAGTGTGCTGCAACAACGTGAGGGCCATGTTTGACGAGCTGCCCACGCCACACATCGTGGTCGAGGTCACTGTCTTCCCCCCGGGGCCGCTCACTGCCTCCCTCCCCTCCCCACTCTGCCTCCACCGCCCCAACCTGCCCATAACAGGGTTGCCAGATTAGGAGGGAATCAGCGCACAGTGAGACGGTTTGCTGCAACAACGTGAGGGCCATGTTTGACGAGTTGCCCACGCCACACATCGTGGTGGAGGTCACTGTCTTCCCCCGGGGGCCTCTGCCTCCCTCCCCTCCCACTCTCCCTTCACACATCGTGCTTCGCTCGCCTATGCCTCCCAACCCACCCACACCACAGGGTTGCCAAATCCGCAGAGAATCAGCGCACAGCGAAACCGTGTGCTGCAACAACGTGAGGGCCATGTTTGACGAGCTGCCGACGCCACACATCGTGGTGGAGGTCACTGTCTTCCCCCCGGGGCCTCTCACTGCCATGGAGTACCAGAAGGCTGAGAAGCTCGAGGCCGTGCTTAAAAAGGGGCGCTCAATATAGAGGGAGCTACTGTAGATGGTTTAGAGATTTGTAGTAATACCTACATTCTATGATGAAGATGATACGTCTTCCCCCCGGGTCTGTTCACTGCCATGGTGTATCAGAAGGCCGAGAAGCTCGAGGCCGTGCTTGAAAAGGGGCGCTCGATATAGAGGGTGTTACTGTAACTTGTATTTTTACGGCAAGCACTAAATTTACATTATTTGATGAAGATAATACCACATATTCCCCCCCTAGAGGCGTTCACTGCCATGGACCAAAAGGCTGAGAAGCTTGAGGGTGTGCTGAAAAACGGGCGTTACTGTAGAGATGCCATGGTTTCACCTTCTCATCAAAAGTCCCACCGTCACACATCAAAGCTTGGTGGTGATCCATTCAGTTTGACTGTGATACTTCTGATTCTCTTGCTAGACAAAAGTCTGACTGTATGTTTTGCCCACTCAGGAACATACTGTATAGTAGTATCACAGATACAGGCTTGCTTAAAACTGCACTCAGAGCACACCGAAAGCCAAAATAAAAGCACACGAGGAGGTGAGCAGAGAGGTGGTGAGCAGAGAGGAAGAACGTGTCCAGGCACTCTCAATACCGGTACCTAACAGCCTCCTACTGTATTCTCTCTAAAGCTGTATAATAAAAATCTCCCAAAAAATACTCATCCTTTCTTCTCTCCTCACACCCACTCCTCCTTGCTCTTCCCCGGCCAGACAGCCACCACGGGAGTGAGGCGACAGTGGGGCACGCACAGGAGAGAGCGCCTACTCCCCTCACTGTTGCGCTCTCTCCTCCCTGTCTCCTCCCTCACTCCCCCTTGCTCTCCCCCTCCTCCTTGTTCTTTCCAAGCCAGCCGGCCACCACAGGAGTGAGAGCGACGGTGGGGGGGAAACGGACGGGAGAGAGGGCCTTGTGGGCTGCATAGGCAATGGCGAAGGTGCCCACTGCCTCTCCCGTGCTGTCCACATGCAGACCCAACTGATTGGGGGAGAGGGAAGTGGGGGGAGAGGAAACAGGATGGTAGGGAAGCGCACGGGACTGAGGGTCTTATGGGCCGCATAGGCAATGGAAAGGTACCCACCGCCTCCCCTGTGCTGTCCACATGCAGACCCAACTGATGGGGGAGAAAAGGGGAGAGGGAGGAATGGGGGAGAGGGGGCATCAGGTGGGAAGCAGGCAGGAGAGGGGGCCTTGCGGGCAGCACAAGCTGACAGGGGGCCTTGCGGGCAGCACAAGCTGACAGGGGGCCTTGCGGGCAGCACAAGCTGTGGCGGAGGTCCCCACTGCTTCTCCCGTGCTGTCCACATGCAGGCCGAACTGTTGGGGGAGGGGGGGGGAGGGAGGAGAAACGGGAGGAAATGGAAATAGAGAAGGGGTCAAGAGGGTCCTATGGGCTGCATGGCGATAGCAAAGGTGCTTACTTCTTCCCCTGTGCTGTTCACATGCAGGCCGAACTTAGGTGCGGCGTGGATGACAGATAGGCGGGGAGGTCAAGTAGATCACCAGCAATAACGACAAGCAGGTAGCGAAGGGAGAAGGAGACAAGGGAGTGGGAGGGAAGGCACCAATATATATACAGCACATCGCATACATATGTAAACTTATTAAGCAAACGAGTCAGCTCTTACCGAGTCGAGGAGGCCAGCCACGTCCACGCCTTGATCAACGAGCAGGTAACAGAGGGAGAAGGAGACGAGGGAGGGGAGAGAGACAGAGCTCATACACAGTGCATCTCTTAACGAGTCAGCTCTTACCGAGTCAAGGAGCCCAGCCACGTCAACGCCTTGGTCAACGAGCAGGTAGCAGAGGGAGAAGGAGACGAGGGAGAGGGCGATGGAAGTCCCAAGGTACGCCCCTCCATAGCGGGTCAGCAGGTCCTTTGCAACTTCCGCGTTGCTTCCAGCCTTCAGAGAGGGAGGAGGGAAGGGAAGCGAGGGGGGAGAGGGGTGTTGGGGGAGGGTGGGGGGCGCAGGGTGAGTAAGGACAATGGAGGTCCCAAGGTATGCCGCTCCGTAGCGGGTCAGCAGGTCCTTGGCAACTTCAGCGTTGCTTCCAGCCTTTAGGAGGGGCAGGTGGGTGGGTGGGGGGAAGAGGTGGAAGAAGGGAGAGAAAATGCGAGTGGGTTGCAGGGGGACCGAGGGCGATGGAGGTCCCAAGGTACGCCCCACCGTAGCGAGTCAGCAGGTCGCCACCCCCGCGGTGGTTCCAGCCTTACGAGATGGGGACGCAGGAGATAAGGAGATGGATGGAGGTTCCAAGGTACGGTCCCGCATAACGAGTCAGCAGGTCCTTTGTCACCTCCGCGTTGCTCTTAATGGGGGTCTACTACGCAAATTGCTTTTCATTTTTCCGTTCATTTCTTACTATCTTCTTGTGCTCACCTCCCTCGTCCGTTCACCCATTTCTGCTCTCTCTCACCCATTTCTTTCGCATCTTTCTCTCTCACAAGGGAACCTTGCTGCACCAACACCACTTTACCCACCCATGTAAGGGAACCTTGCTGCATCTTTCGCAGTTTATCCCTCCATACACGAAAGATGCGAAAGAAAAACTCCGAAAGATGGAGAGGCCTCTTCCAAAAATCTCATCCACCGCTCACCTTCCATAGCCCTGCTTCGAGACCCCATTTTCGGGTAACTTCGTCCGCTTCGTCCGCAGGAGAAGCCGCGGAGGAGGCTGGCGGCGAGGGAGGCGTTTGGCTGTTGACGCTGCTGGTGTTGTTGACACTGGTTTTGTCACTGGCGTTGCTGCTGCTGCTGCTGGCCGCTGCTCCTGTTTCTCTCGTGTCTGCACCGAAGCAAGAACAGCATGCAGCAAAATGGAATCATTTAAGAGGCGAATTTGAGGTGAGCGAATATTAAGTCGACAAAAAAATAAAAACGCATGGACAGCAAAACGGTGGACAAGACAATCTAGAGTGCAGTGGATTCGAGGGAAGTGCATCTTGAGTCGACCCAAAGGAAATCACTTCTGAGAATTCTTAGAAGTGATTTCAACATAACTGCATCTTGAGTCGACCCAAAGGACAACAACGAAAGGACAGCAAACGGTGGAATGCGAATATGATCTGATCTGATCTGAGAGAGGAGGATTCGAGGGAAGGCTGCCCCCCAGACCGGTCGCTTGGAGATGGAAATCAACTGCTTCTGAAGGAGATTCTTCCAGAACAGAAGCAAACTGCTAGCTCTTGCACTAGAAAGTAGACTGCGTTCGAAATACAACGCTTTCCACGCACCATGGAGGGAGCTTCTCGCGGAAATCCTTAACGGCTTGTTAAGCGCTCGGCAGGTTGAAGCAGTGCAAGATGGTAGTCGCGAACACGTAGAGAGCTTCGCGAGGCCGCGGTTCGCTGCGGAGTTGGCGGCAGCCATGGTGGCGACGCTCTCCGCCGAGATAAGAGCAGCCATAGCTACCGACGAGGTTCGGAATGGAGCCGGGGAGGGTGCGGCCGCCACGGAGGTAGACAAGCAAGCGAATGGTCTAACGATAACGCGGATTAAAATAATCGAGAGACGTTTGTTGACGTGAGCCCAGCTGACAAGAAACTAGGACGTGGGATCGGAACGTATGGCGAAATGTGGCCGACGCGACGTGTATTGCGACCGAAGGCGTCGTCTGAACGTGTGAAGTGGAGGTCTGCTCGTGCGTGAAAAGCTGGACACAACTGAATTTCTGTCTAGTCACTCGAGGAGAACAAGAGCACATGAAAGAAAAGTGCCGACGAAAAAGAGTTGATCGTAGGGGGGATGACAAGCTGATGAGGACCACAGCTTTCAATTACTCAGCAGCAAAGAGGTGAAAAGGATGGATAATGAGGTGAAATACGTTTAGGTACGGGCTGATACGGTGACGTACGGTGCGGTGCAAAAATCTATTCGGATCCTACACCCTCTAGAAATGCCACGTCACCTAAAGATGCTTCAGGAAGTGACGACGTGGCGGCGACGGTTCGTGGGTGTCTCGAGGTGTGTGGTGGCGGATAACGAGGCGAACTTCAACTGAGCGCCACGTGGTTTTCTCGATATAGGACTTTGGACGTGTAAACAAGAATTAAACAATCTGCACGCATATTCAAAGTTTCACAAATCATCTAATGCCACAAAAGTTATACACAAAAACAGACTCTGACGATGCTTTCAACTCCATGTATTCATTATGTCGGCCAGAATTCCAACTCAAAATCTTCAACACTCACGCTATGTGAACTTTTGTCTTCCATTGATGAAAAATGCGTCTGCGTAGGAGTGTGGGACTCCAACGGATAAACATTCACGAACTGCCGATGCGGAGAGTCAAGGGTTGATGCGTAAGCAGGCTGTATAGCTGGCTGAAATTGAGGCAGCGCAGGCGAAACCGGAGGGTGGAGAGCAAAAACCCGTTTTCCCTCCTTCCTCTGCGCTTCCATTGCCTGAGCCAGTAGCATCATCTCATACTCCTGTGTCTCCTCCAGCTGCTGCAGCAGAAAGTCCAGCGAGGCATGCATGGGTGGCTGCTGAGCTGGCACATGGACACGTTGTGCTGGTTGCTGCTGAGCTGGCACGTGGACACGATTTGCTGGGCTAATCTGAGGTATATTCGGCACCGCATCCAATACTGCCTGCAGCTCATCCTGCACTTGCTGAGGGCTGGTGAATCCTGGCAGCAGCGGCCGAACCTGCTCTGGTCGCTGAACCCACGGAGCCTCCCATGCCCTCCTCTCCTCCTCCTCCATTTCTAACAGCAAAGCCGTCAGCTTGCCGTCCTCTAATGTGATTGTATGAGCAGCCTGGTGTGACTGTATAGGCATCACAGCCTGCTGCCATGACCTTTTTCTTGAGACCGCACCAGTGCTGGCACCAGTGGTGGCAGAATGAAGGCTTGCATTGCGGTTCTGAGGAGTGACTGGTTCGGAGAGGGAAGTGCCTGGGATAATCCCGCGTGAAGGGGGAGGGAGGGGCAGGGTCGAGTAGCTTCCGAGCATTGCCGCTGCTTGTGCAGGCGGGGCTTCGGAAGGAGCAGCAGCAGGCGGAGCAGCAGGAAAAACAGGAGTGGCCAGAGAATGAGCAGCAGGAGCCAGAGCAGGAGCAGCAGGGGCAGCAGCAGTAGACACAGCAGGAGCCACAGGTGCGTTGAGCAGGACGCCAGCGCCCAGAGCCGCCAGCATTGCAACACACGCCGGCAGGGACGGCAGCCCTTCCTCTTTAGCAGCGACGGGGCAGCCCCTAATTCCAGCAGCAGCAACGGGACTAACGTCAAAGGCAGAGGTGGCGCCAGATGCGCTGGCTGCAGCATGAACGAGAGTCTGTGCCCTCATGCTGTCTCGTGACGGCGGCGACAGCAGCCGCTGCAGCATCTCAACTCTCATATTCAACGCCGAGACACCACCACAGGTACTGGTAGTGGGAGTGGCAGCAGCAGGAGTTGTGGAACCGCTCTCAACCGTAGCGAGAGTAGGAAAGCTCATGGAGGTGCCAACCGTTGGGTCAGCTGTGGGACTGAAGGGGCACGCAGAAGAGGAAAGAACGGAAGCCAGGCTGGCCACGGGAGGCAGAGGCGGCGCCGAGACGCCTGCTGCTGTGCTGGGATTGGTTGATGGGGACAGCATCACGCGCGGAATGAGGGGTTTCACCGCGACTCCCCCAACAACTTGCACGGCTCTTCTCTTGCAGTCAAGGGCTCTTCTCTTTCTGACTGGGCCGCCCTGCGCCAGGGGACGTGCTTCGGCCTGGGCCTTGTCATTGGCCGTGGTGACTTCATTGGCAGCGGCAGGGGAAGCTGAAGGGGAAGCGGCAGTGGGGAGCGCTCGCATGTAGCCTGGAGTTTCCGCCCACATGGGCTGTGACAGCCCCCAAAGCTCCAGACCCTAGTACTAGAGGCTTAGGGGCCTCAGGGACTATAGGCCCTAGTAGAGGGTCGTTTGGGGAAGCCTGAGGCTGGGGGAAGTTGAGAGGAGCCGAGGGACCAAGGAGTTTGAGAGCAGCGCGGTCGTACGCCCTTGCAGCTGCTTCCGCCGTGCGGAAGGATCCGAGCCAGACGCGCGATTTGAGGCGCGGGTGAGGGATCTCCGCCACCCAGGAGCCCCACTTGCGCTGGCGCACTCCGCGGAAGTCGTGGCGCGCGTTGTCCGGACCCCCGCGCGGAGCCTCGCGCGGAAGACCCATCAGGCGCGACCAGCGCCGGCACATGACGATGAGGGCTAGTGTGGGGAGACAGCGGAGTTTCGGCTGTTATGAGGGTATTAAGCGGAGATTAAGACACAGCGGTGAAGACACCGGGGGCTCGTATCTCCAAAGACGCTTCGTCGAGCTGAATCGTCTCTCAAGGGTAAAAAACGCCGATACTAGGGTATCGTGTAGCAGTTTCTAAACGAGATCGAAAACGGAATGTTCGCGAATGGATCCGGATGAAGAAACAAGCTGGCTTTTTACAAGTTGAGCGGAAGGGCGCCTCGCTTGCAACTCAGCTGCTCACCTCTCTCTCACCCACACTCCCGACCATCTTCCCCTCCACTTTCTTCCTCAACTCTCTCCCTCATCTCTGCTACTCCCTGTCTCCATTTTCACTCTCCGTCCTTCAAGTGGTTGACATCCCTGTTTTTTGCAAGTCAACCGCCTTTTCCTCCACTCTCGCTCCTGAAAAGCTGGAGGGGGCTCGCGCACGTAGGTTGCTGAAACCGCAAGATTTGTCAGTTTAAATCCCGAATCTAGTGATTGGGCGGCGTAGCTTGGGAACGACTGAACAGCAGCGCTTCCAAACGAAGGAGGAACAATAGCGTCCACTTGCCGCCCGTGGAACGACCATCGGCGTGCTAATCCAAGATAACTTATCTCCAGTGCTGACATGGGTCTGGTGGCGTGCGCTGGCGGGCAGGCATCGAATAAATTTAGCTTTGGTTTGAAGTCCTGATCCCGAATGCCGTGGATATGCATGATCGAAGATTTTCGGGCGCGCATCGCCTAGCGACGGGATTCGTTCGTGATCGCCGCTCCCGCCACCAACGAACGGCTCGAATCAAAGCATGCAAAACTGCTAGATTTCCTCAAAGGCGCCGCAGCGATGACAGCATCTAGTTTCGAGAGGTTGTACGTCTCCATTGCAAGGCCACGCTGGAAACATCTGCCCTAAAGACTGTTGCTTCTTTTGGGACCGGCAGCATGAGGTCGCTTCAGGATTGCTTGTGTGTTGATGTACACGGGACGCATACATCGTCAGTCGTAACTGGTCGCTTGAGGATTGCAAAAGGCTGCTATTGTGAGGTTCGTAAAAAAAATGTGCAAACTAATCCTCTCAATTCCAGGATTTAGCGGGCGAATCTAGATACGAAACGTGTGAAGGCACAGCGAATAAGCAACGGCGTACCATACACGTGGACGCATCACGGGGTGCTTGCCGAATCTAGAGGAGGGCAGGTGACGAAATCCACCGTAGGATGCGATCGACACATCACGTTTCTTCGTCCTGAACTACTACAGTGGTGGTCCTTACTGAGAGAAGTGAGTCGAATCGAAGCTGCTTCTTCACCGCCATTTTCGAGCGTATACGACATCGCGCTGGAGGCCTCTTACGTCATACACGAGCAAACCCTAAGACTGATTCGTGAAGAAGCAGTTCGTCATGAAATCTCAAAATTCATCCTGACACAGAAATGGAGGGCGAAGGTAAAACTGGAAAATCTTGGGCAGTTCCCATTCCCACGAAACACGAATTGCTGACTTGCACTTTTATACATCGAAGAATGCCGAGTTCTGTACACCCTAATGCTCACTCAACCGCCCACTCTGAACACGTCCGCTGCCACTCCATACGCCCCATTCACAGCCAACGGCCCGCGCGTTACTAGCCCACGACAAAACCAAGATGTTCGAGTTTCCCAGACAAAACACGCTGGGCTACCAACAATTTCCGCAACTGTAGTTTTTTTGTCAACCTTTGTTCTACATTCAGTCCCATTCTGCCCCTAGTGAACGCATGCTCGAGAGAGGAGCACAGGGAAAGATGGGGAAGGGGACTGAAATGGGCATCATGTGTAGTACAGTACAGTGTACAGAATGCAGATTCTTCAATCGAACGCGTATCTTGGATGCTCTGACGGTCGTCACCTTCCGATGGACGCACAGATCGGGGAACCGTCAGATGTCATTGTCAGATCTACAGCAAAGTACATCGTGTGATGTTCTTGCCACTACAGTATCAGCTTTCAAAACGTGACGACCACCTTAGTGAACGACACGTTCCGTCCACCTTAGTGTCCCCTGCCGCCTCCTATGCAGAGCGACCCCTGTACACAGGGGATGTATCGAGGATTAGCGTTGTTTCACGCACCTTCTCCCTAGGAGGTTGGCTAGCTTAGCCATTCTCTTTTCGCTCTGTATAGCCTTGTAGATGATTACGATCTATATATAACATTCTAACATTCTAACATTCAAAACGTGACGACCGTCTTCTAAAATCCATACGATTTCACGTGCACCACCAGTCAACGGCCAAGGCAGTGGATTCGGTACACCATGTTTTTCGCTACACCGAACTGCGGAAACACACTGAACAGTGGAACTATTCCTTGGACTGGTCTGGGAGTTTACAATAACCGTCTTTACGAGATGGGTGTTGGGCTGAAAAAACCCTTAGGATATTTGCAGGGGTGAACTCTGGGTAGAGTTGGTGTAGTAGCGGAAGCGTTAATTAAAGAGTTGTGAACCACCTTGCGCTAGTATGTGAGGGCAAAGTAAGTTGATTAAAACAAAGAGATACAAGCTTTTATAAGAGTACAAGGAATACGAAGAGATACAGTTAATAACCGTTTTACTATTGCTGTTGCGGTTCGATACAGTGACGACTCGGGCAACTGCTCAATACCGAGTCAGTTGTTTGTCCTTGCTGTCGCGCTGTACTTTGTCAGGTCAAAGGTCGCTGACCTTTGACTTTCGCGTAACCTCCAACAGTTACTTTCAACCTCCGAGGGTTGACTCGCCGGTGATTCGTTATACTTTGTTTCTTTTGTGTCTTAGTGTTTCGACACGACAGAGGCGCTTAGGACCGATTGTTTCCAACACTCCCCTTCGCTTCTGGAGTGTCGCTGACGTGGCTCTGTCCAGTCAGCAACATGCAGTATTCGAACTTCTGCTTTCCGAGCTTCTTGGTCAGGTAGTCAGCTGCCATCTCAGACGTGGGACAGTATGACAGCTCGAGCCTTTCCTTCTCGATCTCGTCCTTCACGAAGAAATATCGCAGGGCGATGTGTTTCGTCCTGTTCGCGAAGCCGTTCTTGTTGGCGATGCGAATTGCCGACTGGTTGTCGCAGAACAGGGTAAAGTTGGGTAACTCGGCTAACTTCGCTTCTTCCAGCAGCTCGCGAAGATAGAGTCCTTCCTTGGTGGTTGAGCAGAGTGCAATATATTCTGCTTCAGCTGACGAGAGAGCAATTAATTCCTGCTTGCTCGACTGCCAAGAGATAGGTCCGATAGGTTCGAGGCGGTAGATGTAGCCGGTGCGGGAGCGCCTATTGTCGGAGTCGCCAGCGTGATCAGCGTCGACGTAGCCGATTAACTTAGTCGGTGTGGTTGCGTTCTTGTAGTAAGTTAGGCCGATCGTTGGGGTGCTGACGAAGTAGTGAAGAGCGCGGTCGAGCTCCGCCAGATGTTCTGCTTCAGGCTTCTTGAGGTAGGTGGCGAGCTGGCTTGCGGAGTATGAGAGGTCGGGGCGACAGGTGACGGCTGCGAAGAGAAGACATCCCAGCTTCTTCTGGTAGTCTCGTATGCCGGCGGGCTTAATAGAGCGGAGCTTCCTTTGTCGTTCCCTGCCGTTGTGACAGTACGCCGACGTTCGACATCTTTCTCATTTCCATATTTTTACTCCATCTTATTCTCCTTATTTTCCTCTTTCATTTGCACTTTATTTCACCTCAATCGGACTACTATTCTATTTTCTAGAGCTTTCCGATTATTTCACTTATTTGGTATTTTCGGCACCGACATTTACATTATACGGCACCGACAGCACCGACAGTGGTGTACAAGGCGTAATCTCGCCATAATCCGAAGTGCCAATGGGCTTGCGTGCTTATGCGCACTTGTGATGTTCTATTCTAGAAAGAGCGCGTTCCCGAAGGTTCGGATTATCTGTTGTTTCTATGTATTTCTGAGTATAAATACGCCTTGCACTCACCTTTAGTGCAACATTCTCGAGTGGAATTCGATCCTGTGACACTTGGTATTCAGAGCCGTTTTCACTTGCGGAGTTTCAGCTAAGCAACGCGCTTAAGAAATTCCTGCTTCGAAAAACCGCCGGGGGCGACGAATTCGGCGCCGACGCTGGTAAGCACCAGATTCCGCGTTTTTTGAATAACCCCCCGCGCGCGTTTTTTGGACAGGATCGTGAGTTCGATTGTTGGCAAAACCGTTTGCGACACAGGGTCGACAATTGCAAATTGTCGGGACCTATATCGAGCGGTGCAGAAGTAGCGAGACCGACGCGCGACGGATCGAACGACTTCGGGTGAAAGCGCGCGTCATGGCGAAAATTGCGACAGAAGCAGAATCGATCGTGACTTCGCAGCAGTCGCGAAATTTTCCCAAGGCCCAAGAAATTCGAGCCCCCAACACCTTT